GTGCCAGGCTCGAGCAGCCACAAAGAGGTTTCAAACATGGGGGATAGGACTGTTGGATTTATTTTCCAAAGCTCGCTCCAGCTGTTGAGGGAAGCTGATTCCAGGGGAAGAGGCCAGGTGTGAGGATCACCTAGAGCTAGAAAGATAGAACTAGATACTTAAAGGGCTACAAGGGCTGAGGGGGAGGGAGGGGCCAAGGAGCCTTCACTGTTTCTATTTAGACCAGAGAATGGTGGGTAAGGACACAGCAGACGGGCAGGGTGGAGAGCAGGAGGAGTCTAATTCTGAATGTGCTTAACAGGTAGAACCTTGCCTGAGGAGGATGGTGGGGCTTGGATACTGCGCTCCTAGGAGGTCTGCCCAATAGGGTAGGTATTTATCCCTCCCCACCACCAACAGCAGTCCTGCACTCAGGAAAGAAGCCTTTCTTTATTCTCTTTTTCATTGCCAGAGGGCAAGGGGACTAGCCAGAGACAAACAGAGACAAGAAGAAGGGGAGAAAGAAGGGGAGAAATTACCCTGCAGTGGGGCATGGTTACCATACAAGCTCTTTTTCATTTCGCCATCCCGTCAGGATTTTGGGCACACACACACATGTGCCCAGAATGTTTTCACGCCTCTGGGGCTGTGATTCAAATTGTGGTTAACCATATGGGACCTGGCTCTCTTAACCACTAAGCAATAAGGCCGACCTTCTTTGTTTGTTTTGTTCATGATAGAGCACAGGCATGCAGAGGAGTGGTGAGAAGGGAATGAGGGGGAGGGGAAGCACCTTTGGACAAGGTCCTGTCAGTGTGATCTCCTTTTCCCAGCCCTCCAGCTCCTTAGGATCTTGGGCACGTGCTCACACACCTGGTAAATTCTCAAGTCAATCTGGGGATCTAAACTGCAGTTGGCCACATGGCTTCCAGCACCGTGGTTCAGTTTGCTACTGATAGTACCTCCAGGCCGGGCGAAGAGTCTCGCCTCCAATGCCAGGGCTCTGGCTTGTGGTATGTAGTTTGGCCCTGCTTTAGCTCCAGTGACCCTGGACCAGAGAGGCCATGGGCCTGGGCTGTGGGGCTAGTGCATTCTCTCCTCCATCTGTAAGGCGGTAACTGTGCCGGCCTTGCTAGAGGCCCTGCAGCTGGGGACCACACTGATAAATTCACTGTATTACTTTGCACAAATCAATATCCCAGCACTTACCAGGGGGTGATGTGACCAAAATTGGTTTCAGCCAATTCGTGAGGGTAATAAATGGCCATTTATCAAATCAATTCATTCTGCGGCACTTCTATGCCTGCCCATCCTCATGGTACCCATGGGGTGCCAGGCTCTATCCAGCCAGTCCCTAGCACGTATCTGACACTTGCTTGGAAGACCTATGGAAGCCTGGGCTGGCCTCTAGATCCACCCTATTCTCCTGCACTTGCTTCAGTTTTGCGGCCCTGAGGTATTGGCTGCTTGCTACCACAAGCTGAGCCAGGGAGCGCCTTGTGCTTCGGCGGGGCTGGGAGCTGCACCCACAGGCTGCCTGACTCCCTCAGGCTTGGGATCAGAAAGCTCTGGGCACTGGTCACAAGAGCCGACCACGGTTATTATTACTGTGCTCTAGCATCAGGGCTCCTCAGCACAGCCGCACATGGTTTATGTCTTAAACGAAGGCAAAAAAGCACCAACCTCACAACTCAGCCCCCAGGGGCCTCTGCCCATTCTAGTGTCAGCCTCCATACCCCAGGACAAGCAAGAGGGCCTTCCTGATGCCATTTTACCTCTGACCCGAGGCAGAGCTGTGGTGACAGAATGTCTGCAGATTGAAGCACACAGAGTACATGTTCTGACATGTACTCCCCCTTTGGAGGGGGAGTCGAGTCACCCTCTCATGCTCTGGGCCAGCGAAAAGAAGAGACAAGACGGTGACCTGTCAGAGGTCAGCACAGGGCCAGGGGAAGAGACGAGGCGGCGCTGGAATGAAGGATCAGTCCCATGCTGAAAGAAACAGCTACGGGCTTGATTCACGGAGTCTAGGATTCCACCCAAGACTGAGAGCATCCTGAGGACAGGAGCTGCTGCCTGGCACATCCTGGGTAAAGCATGTGCTGTACAGTCTGCAGTCCTGGACTTGGTGTCCCTTACCTGAGTGAGGACACGGATACTAAGAAGCTGAGTTGCACAGCTGGTCTGCAGCACACCTGCTGGAGTCCAGCATTGTCAAACTCCTCCCATTTCTTTTCTTTCTTTCCTTTTTTTTTTGAGAGGTATTTTGCTATAGAGTGTGTGCACTCACCAGAAAGACAGAAAGAGACAGAGAGAAAGAAAGTGAGAAATCACCCCCCAGGGGGGATGGTCACACGCCAATCCCTTCTCCTCTCGGGATCTTGGGCATGCATGCACAAGTTTAACATGTGAGTTTAAGCCACTGGGTCCAGGACTTGAACCATGGTTGACTACGTGGGAGTCCAGCAACGTAGCGATTATGTTAACTGCTAGTTCCCCAAACTTCTTCCATTTCAATGCTCCCCACCAAACCCTGTTCTCATGGGCTTGGGGAACTAGGGAGGAGCAGGAGGTAGAAGACAGCAGGCAGCCTGCTGGGGAAGGGCCGGTAACATGCTGCTAGAAAACGCTACCATGGCAGTTGTAGTCCTGGCCCAGGTGCACGTGAGACTCCAGCAAGAGAGCTTTTCCAGACCTCTGCCCAGGTAGTCTGTCTCTGCTGTGGGCTACTCCTCCCTAACCACAAGAGCGCCCAGAGTCTCCCTTCCTCCACCTCAGACACAGCTTTGGCAAAGGAGTAGGGGCTGACGCCTATAGGAAAAAGCCTTACTTTCTTTTTAAAAAGTTTAATCTAGGGTGGTGGCTCAGGCTGGGTGCTTATATCCAGGCCCAGAAGGGCAGCCTGGGTGGTCTGAGCCTGAGTAGTGGGGCTCTGTGTATCCAAAGCTTTGCCCGCTCATGTGTGTGACTGCAGGCGGCCTTCTGACCGCTAGCTGATGAGGCAGCACTGGTCTGTGGGCTCCTCTCACGTTGATGGGGTCAGGCCCTGGCGAGAGGCCCACGACCCCCACGAGTTCCACTGCTATACGAAGATGATGGAGATCAGGCTGTCATGGAGCGGCTGCCTTCATTTTTCAATTACTCCACTAAGCGGTATCCTAGGGTTGACATGAAGCCCTAGCAGGTCCAGTGGTGCAGCCAGTTTCGGCTGATGAAGGCTCCTACAATGAGTGAGCAGAACCCTGGGCTGTCCTAGCAGGCGCTGGACAGGGGCCAATAGCACATAAGTGAGACTGAGACGTCTTGGGCCAGTGCTTCTGTAAACCTCTGCTGGGCATCAGATCTCTGGAGGGCCTATTAAAACACTGATCTAAGCTTCTAATTCCATAGACAGAGGCTGAGGCTTGCAAACTGATTTCTTACGGATTCCCAGAGGATGTTGATGGCATTACTCCAGAGCCCAGGCTTTGAGAGCCACTGTCTTGGAGGGTTCCCTCTGGGTCAGCTGGGCCTAGGGTTCCTCTTCTCTCGCCACTTCTGTCATAAACCACCCTAATGAGTCATGCGCCAGAGTTGAGGCCAAGATGAGGCCACTGTCTTTTGTAGAACTCTAGTTTTATGTATTTGTCCACTGGCATTTTTGCAGGGGGCAGGAGGGCTATTAGATTAGGGCTACACCAGAGGGCAGTCTGCCTCCCAGGGGTCAGAATATGGAACATAAAAGCTTCAGGGGCAGAGAAGGTAGCCCTTACAGTTGCTCAGATGTTTTCCCTAAACCTGGGGCAGTTGTGACAAACCATACTGAAGTGACATGGGCTCTGGGCTGGCAGACTGAGACCTAAGTCCTGGTTCTGGCTCAGCTGACACATGACTGGTGATGGACAAGCTCCTGACCTTCTCAGGGTCTCAGTTCTCCCATCTGAAAAGTAGGAAGTGAGGGCAGTGGGCCAGATGAAGGTCAGAGTTAAATTCTAAGCACAGGAAACCAGCCTTCAGCAAATTATTTAAATGCCTGTGTCTCAGCCTGCTCATCTGTAAAATGGGGATTTAACAATACCGACTTGCTATAAGGATTAAGTGACACAGGCAGGTAAAGAGCTTAGGCAAAGCCTGGCATACGGTTGTGTCAATAAACATTAACTTTAGTGTTGCTAACCGGTCTCTGCAGTTGGTGCCAGCATGATGTACCCCTTGCTGCAGCTGAGCACAAGCCACCCCAACCTTTCTGGTGCTGCCTGGCGCCTGCACTCACCGGCACCCACTGTGGCGATGGCACTCTCCTGGCCAATGATGTGCTCCTTCAAACGCTGCTCCAGGGGGAAACGGCGCCGCTCCTCGGCCTCCCGCTTCCGCTGTTTCTCTTGGTACTGTGGGGAGAGAGGGCAAGCAGCTCAGGGCACTGGACCTAGTATAACCTGAGATTTGTTCTACCCCCAACTCGGGAAAACCATGAGTCCGGGTCTTCGGAGGCCTGTGGCATGGCTCTGGGTTGCCACCGTTGGGGGCTGGTCCTGGCCCTCCCCATATGGTTTCCTTCCATCAGGTAGCCACTGACAGGCAGGGGCACTGGCTCACCCTGCTACTGATATAGGTACTGCTAGCAGATTAATTCTGGGCTCAGAGAAAACATAGGCTCAAATCCCAGCTCTATCACTTACAAGAAGTGCTTATCACTTGGAGTGAGTTATTTTACTTCGGTCTTTGCATTTGTAAATAGGGATTAAATACGATGATGTATATAATGTATCCAGCATCTTGCTTAATAAATGTAAGTTCCTCTTTCCTCTTATGCTTCTGAAAATATTTTTGGTTTCCAAATCAGAGCTATGAACACACTCCACTTCAATGATACTGCATCTCAATTAAATGTAATTGCTCAGCAACTGCTGTGTGCCAGCCTTGTGCGTGGCCAGGATGTAGGGGTAGGCCAAGGAGGGAGGGCTGTGCCTGGTCCCTGGAGGTTCCACTTCATGCCCAGAACCTGGTACATCTGGCCTTGAGCACCTAATTCACGAGAGGCTGAAGGAGGCCTGAGCTTGGTCATGCTGTGAAGGAAAAAGGGGCTGGGGATAAGTCCTTGTCCTCAGGAGGGGTGAGGCATGGTCTGTACACAAATACTTCTCCGTCTAAAGCAATCGTTTTTCTCACGGGTTCAAAGTATGCAGCTTATTTATCTCTAGCACTGGACCTTTGCCTAAAAACAAAAAGCTCCCTGGAAACAAGTTTGGTGAATGTCTGTGAGCCTGCACTCTCCACTGGCCATGAGCTCTCCAAGGGCAGGCTCTACCTTTCAATCATGCTATTCCAGCATGGATGCTGAGACAGTGGGGCATCTGCTGAGTGTTTGCAAAAACGAATTTGGTAACGGATACAAAGAGGAGAGAGTGAACAGTTACATGCGGGTGCAGATGCACAAACGAGAGAAAGACTCACAGACACGGAACAGTTGGAGTGTGCTTTCTGGGAAACAAGAGGCTTGAAGAAGCTAGAGGACTGGGCCAGGTGGGAGCTATAGACTATCTGGAGTTGAGGCAGGGAGGTGCAAGGGTCATGCATTTATGGAGGTCCAGGGAGAAAGCAGATCTTGGACTGGGAAGGAAAGACCAGGTCTCCAGGAGGCTCCTTTCCCCTAAACCCCTGTAATGCTGATATCTTCTAGAAAGAGAGCTGTCAACATAAGGCCCTGTCATGAAAGTTGTGGTTGCAGATTGCTCTTGCGGGCAGAGTGGATGAAAAATACCTGCTGCTTGGGCAGTGTTTTCCTGTTACAGTAGTGACCTTGACAGAAGTTAAAAAAAATAAATAGCAAACAATCCAATTTTGGCTGTTGCTATCAGTCTGTAACTGAAAGCTCCCATCAGTCCTGGGGTTTCATATGGAGCAATAATTCGGCGCCGATCCCAGTGGAGCGACGCTTGCCGTCGGAATCCGGAGTGTCACTGTGCAGTTCCCTCAGGCGCTGCATACATCACCTGGCTCTGCCGACTCCCGTCATATATCTGCTTTCTCCTCCCTGCCCACCCAGCCCCACTCAGCACTCGGGTCCACTGGGCTGGAAGGCTCTGACAGTGAGATGCACACGCATGGCTGGAGAGACTGTAGTTGGGCAGACCATGGAAGAAGCTGGTTCGTGAGGGTCTGGGGGTCAGTTTCCTCATCTCCCCTCAGTGATGGGTCTCAGAGTATTTCCAGCTCCAGGCCTTTGCTCACACTGCTACCCCATCATGAAAGCCTTCTCAATTCCCACCAACCCCCGGTGCCCTGGTCACGTCAGCTTTAAATGAGCTATTTTCCAGAGCCTGATGCATGGCTATAAGGTCACCCCAGCCCAAGACCTTGTGCACTTAAGTAACTTCCTGTTCATCTCTCTCTACTTGACTGTGAGTCCTTAGTTACGAAGACCACATTTTATTTTTCTCTAGCACCTACCAGGGCCTAGCTCACAGGAGGAGTCAGTACATGCTGCTACCTGAATGAAGAAGGCAGGATATTTGTAGAAATGGCTGTTGTGGGTTAGGCACTGTGCTTGCCACTATATACACAGTGTCTCATTTAATTATTATTACTATTTTTTTGAGAGATTTTTGCTATGGGGTGCATGTGCTTCCTGGAGAGACAGAGACAGAGAGACAGAAAGTGAGAAATCACCCCCTGATGATTGTGGCATGGCCTCTCTTCTGTTCTCCTCCTGGGATCTTGGGCATGCATGCACACATGCCTTGAGTGAGTTTGAAGCCATGGGTCTGGGAATTGAACTTAGGTTGGCTACATGGGAGTCCATCCAGCAACACAACCACCACGCCATCCACTGGTCCCATCATTTAATTCTTACAGTTGTCCCACATCTGAAATGTGGCTTCTCTTCTAGCTCATAGTTGTGTAGCAGAAGAAACAAGCTTTGCGTTTGACAGACCTGAGTTCAAACCTCATGTTGGGGAAGTTTATTTACCTCCTTGAATCTTAGTTTCCTCATTGTAACGTGGAGACAGTACTCATAATGACCTTGCAGGATCCTTGTGAGGATTAAATGAGATGATGTATATAAAGTGGTGAGTGGAGTCTCTGGCACATAGCAAATGTATTTATGTGTAATAAGTGGCAGTCTGAGTCATTCAAACGGCCAGCATAGGACCTGGCCTTTATTAGGACTTTAATGTTACATCCCTTTTCCTTCACTGCATTTTGATAATAGATTGTCTAATCAGTGCCTTTTTTGGGTACCAGAACCCTTTTCACTAATTTAATCATGGGTAGTTGTCCATGCACTAAACAAAGAATTGGTCTGGCTTAAGCAGAAACCTGGGCCCAAGTCCACTTGGGTGCTCCCACAGTCTCACAAATGGCTCTCAAGGTTCCTTCATTTAGGGACCCTGGGTCTGCGGGGGACTGTCCCCACACTAACCTGGTTCTAGAGATGCCTCTACTGCCTAAGGTGGCTCATCTCTGGCTGTCAGTTTTCCTTACACGGTAGAGAATTCCACCTAAAGTGCTTCCCACCCACGGGTCTGTGGGCCCACAGAGCACATCTCCTCCCCTTGGCTCAGGCAGAACCTATCATGACTGTTCCTTGTTGGTCTGGGTATGATCATTGTGGCTTCCCTAAGTTTTCTTCGGGGGAACTTTTCCACTTTCTGCAACTCTTTTTCAGTGACTGGTTGATCAGGAGCTTTCTAGATGGTCTTGGGAAAGGTTCAAATTATTGCTTACATCCCTGTGCATACATTAATTCTCCCCAGCCAAGAGTCCCTAATACCTATGTCCATTCAGAAAAACCTCTGAATAAGACTTCTTTTTTGGAGAGGTTTTTGCTATAGGGCGTGTGTGCTTGCCAGAAAGACAGAGAGACAGAGAGCGAGAAATCACCCCCCCCCTCAAGGGGGATGGCCATGCCGCAATCCCTTCTCCTTCATTCTCCTCTTGGGATCTTTGGGTACACACACACACGTGCCCAGCATGAGTTTAAGCCACTGAGTCCGGGACTCAAACCGCAGTTGGACATACGGGAGTCCAGTGACATAGCCATTATGCCAAATGCTGGTCCCTGAATCAGACTTCTTCATAAACATTTACAAGATACTAGGGTTATAGGCCAGCAGGTGGTGTGGTGGTTAAGGTGCTAGACTCCCACATGGCCAACCACGGTTTGAGTCCCAGACTTGATGGCTGGCTTTCTCACTTTCTCTCTCTCTCCCTATCTCTCTCTATTCAAATAGAAAATAATAATAATAATAAATAAAATGAAAGAAATATTATTTTTAAAAAAAGATACTAGGGAAGGTTACTTCTTGTTTTTTCCTCCTATGTTAAGCACAGAGTCTGTACTAAAAAATGGGTTGAATGAATGAATGGATGAATAAATTACTTTTGAAGGCACAAACCATGAGTTCAGCCTTGTGAAAGGCTAGTCAATGGAGGAAACTCCAGAAGGAAAATGCTCAGTTGGTAAATATTCTATCTGAGGGAGAGGACAAAGTAGGATGGAAGATGGAGCTTGGTGAGGGTTCCATAAATGTAGGTCACTCCTGATCTTGGCTCCTTGAGAAGATGGGGAGGAAGCCTATTGCACTTTCAAGCTCTGCTCTGACAGAGTTTCACTAGAAGAGAAGACGGGACAGGTAACCTAGCCTGTAAAAGCAGTAGGTGATGGACTGAGAGAGGCGCTGGGAGAGAGCTGCCCTGGAGAAAGGAGTGGGGAAGTGATCATCTTAATAAAAGTCACACGCAATTAACTTCAGAAGCCCTCACCTGGAGCGGGCAGAGGCCAGCTTCCCATGCTGTGCCTTGGCTGGATAATCTCAGCCACTGGTTTCCATCAGTCTTGATTTAATATGGCACCCCTCCTGGCTGTGAGTGCATTTACAGGAAAGGGCTGGGAGGCCAAGGCAAAGCCTCGCTGGGCTCGCTCTCTCGGAGGTGGGTGGCTGACTGAGTGGATCTGCAGGGGAGGGTTACAAGGGGTTATGGCAGGCATCCCAATTGTTCGGCATCCATCAGGGATAGGTCTTGTTAATGAACCCGGCAATGTATTCACTGAGACAAGATGGCAGCTGGGGTGGGGTAGGCAGAACAAGACCTCAGGCAGAACAAGACCTCAGGTAAGAATGGAGGAGGGAAGAGAAGAGAGGCCAAATTACAGTTTCCCCTACACGTGAAGTTAGACCCACAGATCCACCTGGTGCGCAGACACACTTGATGTGCCCCATATGCCTGACTCCCTGGTCCAGAACCTAACTCATGTCATAATCTGGGCTTCTACCAAGCTCTGAAACTGGTTGACAGTGAGGACTAGGTAGGTTAGTCAGCAAAGGGGACCAGGTGGTAACAGATGAGATTGGGGTGGGGAGATGATGGAAAAAATCTAGTGTGG